TGTACATACATGTACACATGTACCTGTACATTTATATGTAAATATGCAATTCATTTACATGTACATGTAAATACCAATTGTACATGTACCTGTAAATATGCAATCGTACATTTACATGTACATATTTACATGTACATGTTCATGTAAATATGCAAAACATGTACAGTAAAAATATGTGACTTACTGTACATGTACATGTATGCATTGTATTTTGTATGTATGTTCATTGGTACATGTATAATTATATTGTGACATTATTCTCTTCACAGTCCTACAACTGTTAACATGTGCTACAACTCATCACCGTGGCAACAGACTCCTCCCTCATTCTATCGTCCCCAGCAGACCCCCTCCCTTGAACTCTATGGTAATGCTATCTCATTGAACAAAGCAGGAGGAGGAGGAGGGGGAGGGAGTGGAGGTAGCAGGAAATCATCAGCTAGGAGGAGACCAATGGGACAGGCTTATAATAACTACAGGCAAATTTCATTATACATGTACGTACTACGTGAATGTATTGTACATGAAATTTGTGCTGGATTATACATGTACTGTATATCCTCAAATAAAACCTGGGTGCAAATAAACACTGGAGTAGCAATAAAATGGAGCTATAAAGCAAATCTAGCCTTGAAATAGCATACATGTAGATACCTTGTAGATATCATTTGCATGAGGTCCCTGGTTAGAATCCTCCTTTTGGCTCAAGTTGTATTTTATTTTTTAAAGGTCCAAATGTCATTTTAAAAAATAGACGCCCGGGCTTTTATTTGAGAAAATACAGTACATGTAATTGTAATGTACTCAATGTGTGAATGTACTTACTGATTGTTTATATTAGGTATACAGTGTCTCATCCAGGACTATCAGTTCAAGGACTCTCAGTTAATGATAGAGTTAAAGTAAGGGAGAGAGAGGGGGAGAGAGAGGAGTAATGCATGTAGAGTGTATTTGTATTTTAATGTTTCTCTGTTTGTCTCATTTTTTAGCATTTGAAGCATCTCTCAACAGCTTCAAACTTGTCAACATCATAACTAACTGTACATGTATGTGTTCAATAATATTATTTTCCATTATAATTATACACTTGCACCCACACACAACTAAACATTCATGTGTTATAATGAACAAAATTACAACTATGCAATAATTTTTAAACCATAATAATTATATGCATGAATGTAAATTGAGTGATTCTCTCTACACATTATATTCTCTGCTAATTTTGCAAGCTGAGAATAGTGAGAATGAAACAGAGCAAGATCACAGACCAGTTTAGGACTCCTTGATGAGGGTGAATCCCTCTTAGTGAATAATATATTGTCTACACCAGCACCACAGTAGCTAATACTCCTCCTTCATTATTACCCTGCATGGGTCACTCCCTCCCTTATTGCGTCTGATAGGCCATTAAAAATGAATTTTTGAAAGCATCTGTGTATCATGCATGCACGGAGCCTGTTTGTTTTAATATTGTACAAGTATGAATAAGAGTGTTATTGTTTAGTGGTTGCTATAGACTTAGTGTCTATTCACATGTTGTTACTGCAATACCGTAGGAGGCATTATACACATACATGTAGATCTTTAAGTAGCCGACACTAATGCATTAGCTACAGCCTACAGTCATTTGGGTGGACTGGGGATTGGTCTGGCATTGTGAGACTTAGTTAGGTATTAGCTACATGCTTATGATGCTTGTAAGATGAATAATTATTACTGCAAACTACTACTGTTATATGCACACTTTTGACTAGACACAATCACACAAAACACTTCAAACAGAATTGTTAGCTTTTACTGAAGTCAGCACAGTGTGTGCATTGATTGTGTGGGTGTATAAATTTTAATTAAAAGCGATGAATCTCATTATGCAGTGGAAAGATAAATAAAAGAACACTGCGGCGACTGAGCAGCTCACCGGCAAGCATAAACTTTATTCTTCTTTGGACCGTTGCTGTTATTTCAGTGGTGCTAGCTACTTAAGTCCCCTGAAGTTGAAAATGATCTCCGTTTTTCTCTTTTGCTGTTTTATTGTCGTTGCTTCAAGTGATGGTGCTGCAACTACAAAGAAAAGAGATGTAGCTGCTGTCACTGACTGGCTGCACAAAATTAGCAAGAGGCATAGCTCTCAACTGGAAGTACGTCAAGACAACACTGCTTGTTTAAACCAGCTTGAAAGCAACTATCCCTCATACTGCAACTTCACAGAACTTTCAGGTGGTCTCTCAGATCTTCCTGCTTCATCCCTCACTGATGCTCAGCTCACTGCTCTCAACAATGTTTACGCTCAAATTTGTGTCTCAGCTTGCATCGATCCAATTGAAACTTATTTGACCTGTCTACAGGCAGTTAATAAGGATTATGCCATTACCTTGATTCGTCATGGTGTCTGTGGACAGGAGAGTGGAGACTATTGTGAGGTGAGGTACATAAGGCAATATCGTAGAGACATTAATGCTTTTAGTCGGCTAGCAAGTAACTGTCCCTCTAGTGAGTCTGGTGGAATATCCTGCAGTTCTCCTTCCTCCACTTGTCTTTCTGATGTTAACACATTCAGTGATAGGATGGGTTGCTGTACTGAGCCATATCTTGGATCTGGTGTCAACTCATGCAGTGGTGTTAGTGTGGATGAGCCTTGTACTGGAGTATCCAGTGCTACTGGACTAGTAGCTCCTGTCTTTGTGATGATACTCGGTTTGATGGTTGGATTTTTGTCCCATTGATCCTTTTTCCCCACTTGTGTGAACATTAATCATTTTGCTAGCATTTGAAACATTAATTTACATGTAGAGTCTATAGTTAACTGTTAACGTAATCAAAATTAATTATCAATAATGATTTTGGCTATTAATTTTGTTTTTTTTTTTTGAAAAAAATTAATCAGTTTAAATTGTACCTTTTCAAAAAAATCATTAAAAATGTTTTAACTAGTTCATTAGCAAAAATCATATACAGAGAGGGAAGTAAGTCAGACTGTAATCTGTACTGACCTATCAGTTTTGAATAAAATACAAGTATAATTAGCATATCAAATCTAACTTGATGATATTATTGTAACAATGTCCCCATTGAGGGTTCAAAAGGTGATAGCATTAGAGGGTGGAGCTTCTGGGAGAGATACACAATTGTGGGTGGAGCCGGAGTCCAAAGTTAAGTTATCTATTGGAGTTAAAATTATAAAATCTTAAAGTTACAATGTAAATAGTATTTTAAGCAATCGGCTTGAGCTCATTCTGATAAGTTTATGGCAATTTTTAAAAGTAGCCAATTTTCTAAAAATACCTTGTGTACTAGCGCTAGTCTACAGTTACAGCCATTTTTTAAAAGTAGCTGAAATATCAAAAATAGTCTGTTTTTTTCAAAAAATAGCCCCTGATTTTTACTAAATTTTCGGATACATATTAATGTCTTTATGCTATGTAGAAAGTTTGAGTTGATTCTGTAGTGTGGTCGTAACAACTGTTATTCAGAATACAGCAAAGGACAATAAAAAGAGAAGGAAGAAGGGACTTAGAGAGGAAAGAGAAAAGGAAGGAAGAATGGGAATGGTTCTTAAGAGAGATGAGGGAAAGAGAAATTACAGAAATGACAAAGATAATGATAATAAAGATCTCTGACAACATAGGACTCACACTACTAAAATTCAGTTCTCTAAGAGTGCAGTGAGAGCAATGATGAGACGAATTGTTGAGTTGATACTTGACAGTAGAACGAGATGACGACGAACGAACGATTAGACTGACTGATTAATGTGTGTATGTATATTAAATAGTTGTTGACCACGTGTAAACTCATGGTTACTATAATGAATAACAATGAGCTTATAACCACCACAATTCCGACAAATAGTTTTTGAGTTATGAGCATTAAAAAAGGGCCAATTCTTAAAAAATACCCAAGGCTATTGTATAAATTGTTTTTTCCAAAAAAGGCTCCAAAATCATCTCAAATTTTATTACATTTTCTGATACATATTGATGTCCTATGCTCTGTAGAAAGTTTGAACTGATTCTGAAAAAATTAATAGTTTTTGAGTTATGAGTATTAAAAAACAGGCCAATTCTTGAAAATACCCAAGCCATAGTTTTTTCTTTAAAATGGCTCCAAAATCACCCCAAATTTAATGTACTTATGCTGTGTAGAAGGTTTGAGCTGATTCCAGCTTCTATTTTTCAAGCATTTTTAAAAATGAGCCAAAATCTGAATAATAGTTACAAGGTAACGCCTACTTCCGTTGCAAATAAAATATTTCCAGTTTTAGTAGGGTGCATCTATGTCTCAGCTGATATAGCTCATGGTTTTTTCTAAAAAATGGCTCTAAAAATTATTACAAATTTTTTACCTGATTGACACAATTTGAAGAAGGCTCTGAAATTATCAACAAAAGATTACCAGTATTTATTTTTATCTAAAAATTCAATGACATCATAATTACATCACACAGAATGTTACTAACTTTAGCTTTAATGCAACACCTGCTAACATCATCTCCCTCGTCTGTTTCAAGTGGGCATGGCTTCTTGTTAATGAGCACCTTCTCAGAACAAATTCTGAAAATAAAAGAGAAAAGAGAGAGAAAGAAAGAGAGAAACAAAATATGATATAGCAGAAATGAGTGACATACATAGTTTTATTTTGGCAAACAATAATTCTTTGCTAAAATCACCACAATCTGCCATTTTTATTCTTCTTCGCATGCTCAATAACACAAGGTTGCTAAATCCCCCCCTCACCCAATTATAAAACTACCAGTATCAAAACACCAATATTATACACTGTATTAAAATCAGCATACATGTATACATGCATGCATGCATGCATTTTATCTTGCTCTATTTTTCCTCTTACTTTAACAATGGATGCTAAGTGATTGGGTACAATGGATTGAGTGACACTGGCCGGATCACAGTTCCAAAACAGCCTACACTGTACATGATCTACTTCATCAAGAGTCACTATAAGACAATTCAGATCACTAAAAAATAATAAGAAGAACAATAATAATTGTTATAATCATAACAACAACATAATGCTACTTAAAATTTTATCGATGAAATATATAAAAATACCATATAACTGGTAATTTTATTTTGGTGAATTGCTAAATAATTTTTAGTGATTGGCGGATTCTAAGTAATCAGTCAAGAGTCTTAATAAGCATAGCAATGGTAATTGTGGTCAATGCATTATTATTCAAAATTTATTTCATAACTAGACAAATGTAAAACATTAAGGAGGTGTAGCATTATGCGGCTCTGACCCCAGCCATGCTATCATCATACAGATGAGGTTATTTCACTTTCAAAATAGTTAGACAATCATACTGCCTGTACGTACAGACTCACTTCATGATAGGGTTTTGCCTAATAGTAATTAACAGTAATAGAAACTTTATATTCCAGTGAGCTACGCCCCACTCCAGTTACTGGTATTTCAAATCAAATTAAAATTTGAGACATGAACAGTAACATGTAGCTATAAATTCCAGTCATTGTTCAACTCACAAACTCTACTCTTCTTAAAGGGACTGTGCCCTAATTATTTCATATTTATAATATTATTTGGGAAACAGGTAGCTTTAAATTCCAGTCCTTGTCAAGCTCACATACAGTCTAGTAAAATGTCAAAGATGTTCATCTTTATGTTGTTGTTGCTAGCTACCATTGATGAAGGAGAAGGATCAGTTATGGCTGATTGTACTGGATATAAACATGAACCATCACTGTATCTAAGAGTATGCTGTATCATTAGTAACTTGGAACAGAATGTTACCATTAGAGGAATTGGTATTACAAGATATATTTTATGTCCTAAAGTACGACCAAAGTCATGCCCATTAGGTACTGTATATATATCTGAAATAGTTCATGATGTACTTATTGTAGATAACAGAGACTGTAAGAGCTTGTTTGAGACTGGTTTTGATATAAATGGTGTTTATACAGTTAATCCTGATGGAGGGACTCCATTTGAAGTTAGTTAAACATAATTTATAATTATACGCTATTGGATCACAGGTATACTGTGATATGGAGACTGATGGTGGTGGATGGACTGTATTTCAGAGGAGACAAAATGGATCTGTTGATTTCTATAGATACTGGACTGACTATGAGAATGGATTTGGTGACCTTACTGGTGAGTTTTGGTTAGGATTGAGCAAGATTCATCGTCTTACTAAAGAAGGATCAAACACACTAAGAGTGGACCTGGGAGACTTTGAGGGGAACACAGCTTATGCTAGCTACTCTACATTTAATGTTAGTGA